TGGTCTCGAAAGATATTTGGGATACTAGGCAGAATATCAGGTGCTGCAATAAGGGCAACAACCTTTTGTTGACCTTTATCTTGTACATGCGCAACAGCAGACCTGATATGCGAAGCACTGAAAGCCTGATTCAACAAGGAGCAAAGGCTTGCATTGACTAGGCCATCCTGGGACATGAGAGTACCATTACCCTCAACTTGCTATGCTTCATAGCGATCACTGCCAATAGGTTGGAAATCAACCGTCCACGTGTCTTTCGACACACTAGGAGTAAATGTACATTGGAAGCTTCCTTCCTCCTTTCCAAAGGGGAGAATGATCTGTTCCTGGAAGATTCGCAGTCGACGACTGCGAAAGTTTTCTAGCTGGACCCCTACAGCATAAATGACCAGAATGGATCTTTTTTGAATGTAGTAGGGAATGCTCATATCGATCAAGGTTGCTTGTATGCGCCATCGATCATCTTGAGTGCTAGACCTGATATCGAGAAAAGCAATGGAGCTAAAGTTGAAGAAGTTGGGGACTTGTTGATGCTGGAAGGACCAGAAGAGTGGAATGACCCTCTGAAGGTCTTGATGAGCCAAAGCAAGCACACTTTCCTGTAGGTTTGAATAAATGCGCGAGAGGGCATCCGCGACATTATCTAGACCGACACAGGAGACCCCAAAGGAGATGCAACAACGATCAGTGGCACCGAGCTCAGTGAGCAAAGGGGCCTCTTGCTTAAAAAGCCTAAAACGAAAGACCTGGCACCGCTGTAATAGAAGCTTGCATTTGAGTAGTCAGAGCCATGCTAGAACTGAGCCAAGTTTCGGCGTATTCAACACAAGGCAAGAAGACTTCAAAGCTTCCAGTGTTGTGCGCTGAGCATAAGGCAATAAAATAGGTGCCTTTGGTTACTGGGCGTGTACGACCAGCCTGAGTGAAAGCAAAGTTCTTGTACCTACAAATCTTGTGGATATGGGAAAGGTGGCGCCTTAATGTCGTGCGCACTCCAATTGTCAAATCAACACACGTGGCGCTAAAAAAACGTTCATGAAAAAGCAAAATCTGTCGAAGATGGTCATTGGAGTGCAACAGCTGCAAAATTTGTTCTTGCAAATGGCTCTGTATCCCATAAATGACTACCGAGACAGGTTGTTTTCCTGAAACTGCAGCAAAAACACAGTTAACCTCATCTTCTCCTACGATAAGGAGATTGCTGCTAAAAAGATCAGTACGTATCATGCTGGGAAAGCGACAAACTAAAAAGACCCGTGGTAAGCAAGACAGAGAAGAATCAAAGAGCTTTCCCAGACATCCTTTTGATAAAGGATGAGAGCACATCATCATAGATAGACTGCGTAATAGCGCATACTGTTTCTTTCATTGACATGACGGACGAAACAGCGCAAGGACTAATGGGAGCTTCGCTTGGACAGTCTATACTAGTTCAGACAAGGTTAGCAAAGTAAACAAAACTTAGGCTTTTTGCCCTCAGGCAGTGTCTAAGGACACCACAAGAGGAAACCCGACTCGGACAAGGTATTCGAAAACGTTCTCTCAAGACAGTGTCTAAGGACACCACCAGAGAGAAAGCGTCAGAGACGAATGTTTTCAAGGCAATGTCGAAGTAAGTTTACGAAAGCGTCTTCTCGTGACAGTGTCTAAGGACACCACCAGAGAGATAGCCAAGTCAAGCCAACGCTAACCAGCCTTTCTATGAGCGCTAACTATCTATGAGCCGACTATCGCGGAGGCAACTTCTTCTCTTTAAGAAGTAGCCTTGAACCTCCTACTCAACTGCGTTTGCAGAGAGCTTTGAGCCGACATGTTGCTTGAGCCAAAGGGGCTACGGAAGCCAAATGTGTGCCAGATCACGCAATGCAAGAATGGATCCCCAAATAGCATCAATCAAGGTGCTGGGTGTGAACTTGACTTTGTTCACGCGCACCCAGAAGATCCTGACCAACCCCATGTGGGACACACTGAGGGACTGCACACGTTTCAATCTAGTGGTCAGAAGCTGTTCCGCGCTGAACACAAGAGGCAACTCCAAAAATGGCCATGTGTTCGTTGATGCTGGCATTCGCACCATTGGAGCGGCCGCGTGGCAAAGTTGTCAGCAGCTCCAAATCGTTGGACTGCCTTTCTCAGTGGTCTGCATCAAAGAAGGTGCCTTCCAAGGTTGCCTTGCGGAATGTTGCTCGCTTGCAATGAAGGGGAAGCCGCCACTGGGGTCTTTTCTGGTGCACCTCAAGAGGGAGCCCAAAGGTGCCAAGCCGAGCAATGCCCTTGTGTGGTCTTTGTTCGCTCTGTTTCTTTGGACTATTGTTCCTTGGAAGGCGCGCGTGGCCATCTTGCCTGTCCGCAGTCACGATGTGAGTTGCCCCTCAGCCAAAGCTGTTTCGGGGTTGCCCACTTCTTGGACCTTGGATCTCTCTCCCCCTGCGCGGGCGTTCACAGGGATTTTGGTGTGACTCCCTCTCTCTCCTCTTGAGCAATCTTTTGAGACAGACAGCGCTGAACACATGAGCTGGAACTTACTGACGCTTGAAGGGCAGGTGAGCATCGGTGGTGGAGGAGCCCGATCTTTCTGGTGCGGTGGCATCTTCACCTTCCATCAGTCCATGTGGAGCATGCTTGGCCGGTTGTCTACACTCCAATTTGTTCAGGTCTAAAAACACTGAGGCACAAGGGCCCTGAAGCCGCCGAAAGCCCAAAAGTTCAGATGCCGAAGAGCGTCTTTCACCATAATTCATTGCTCAGTCTCACCATGTTTCACCTTTACATGAACACCTGAGAGTCTCGTCGCGTGTTGTTTGGTGCTTGTTTTCGGGTTTTTGTTCGTTTGTTTTTCTGTTCTGTGTTTGGTTTCGTGTTTTTTTTTGGTTCTTCTGCCTTCTGTTTTTCCTTTTTTGATGAGACTCTGCAAAAGCTGACCTTTGCATTTTCTGCATGTACGGCGGCTCGACTCGTGCAAAAAAATGAGAAAGAAGAAGGTGAGTGGCAAGGCCAAGAGTGACCAGATGAGTGGGCTGAGTCTGAGACAGGCGTGATGATCGTCGATTTGTTCTTTCCACCAGACTGACTGGAGTTGATGGTTGTTGGACAGCGGTGCTGCTGTGTCAGTTTTGTCCGAGAAAGATATCACCGGAACTGCAAGTACAACACTGGAAAGAGCGGAATTGGAAGTGTGGAATATTTCGCCGCGAATGGCTCACCGAATGCCGTTGTGAATGTAGCATTTGAGGTTTATTCAATGGTCGTGTGAAGGTTCAGAATTTTCAGCTTGAATGTTGCGTTGGAAACGTTTCGCACAACATCATTTCAACAGGACAGCTTGTGAAGAAGGGCTGGACAGTCGTTCAGTCACCTAACAAGATGTATCTCCACCATGGAGAGACCCAGACGATGATCACTGAGGTGACCTTGTGGGGAGGATGTCCTTGAATGAGGTCCCGTCGATCGACTGCGCCCAAGGCAACCAAGGACCAATCATGATGCAAACACAGATCTGAGGCCTGGATATCCAGGCCAGTGCAACGCGCTACATGTGGTGCGCAAAGGCACGTGCAAAAAAGAATGGGTGTAGGGCAGAAAGGTAAAACGAAGGTTCACTTTTAGGGATCGAAGAAGCACGCGTTTTGTGGTTTCGACCTGCGGGGCCTCCCCTGTGCTCGTTTCTTGGAAGCGGCTGGGGTTTTGCGCCGTCGATACTGTGGATCGTGGCTCGAACTTAGGGAGATCTCTTTTGAATGTGCAAACCTGCTACCCTGCTACCCAACCCCAGAGCCCGGGAGAGGAACGCGATGTCCTCCCTGTTTTGACGCCTGTTCGTCTTGGACGCAAAGATCTGTTTTCGTGTGACTTTCGTGCCGGAGCCCTTGATGGGCAGAGAGATTCCCCAACGCCTGAGGTACAAAAAGAAAGCGCGCGAGCTGTTCAGTGTGTTTTTCAGATTTCTTTTTTGAAACATGAGATTAGTGCCTTATGGCTCTGATTCGGGGAAAAGCTTACGAGAAAGAAAAACTTTGACGTACTTGAATGATCACAGCAATCCTGAAGTACGCTGACAAAGACAACTTATGCGTGAACATCAACCACTGGCCCCCTATAAAAATTTTGATTCCAGATCATGGTCGGTCATGGGTGACCCTTGCTTAGTTTACACGTGGACGTTTCTCAGAGGTCACGCCAGGTCATGCAGGTCACGGTCATCGCCGCCTTGTCCTGGCCCTGTTGTGGTCACGGTCATTGCCGCTTCCCTTTCTCCGCCGACTTGTGGCTATGAATGCAGCGTTTGGTATCATTTTCGGATTTTCTCATGACATAGAACATCGCTTTTTGTTTGCACATGTGACCATGGAAATCAGAAACAATTGGTTTCTAACAAATTTTGTTTTTCTGCACCAACATTGAATTCAAAGAGTTGACGCCAAAAAGGCGTTGAAACTTTTTGGGATCTATGCTGGCAACTCAAGCGGAACAAAAACACAGATGTGTTTTAACAAAATGTGCCCCAAACACTCGGCTGTGTTTCTGCATGTTACCATGTTTCAATCCCTTGTCCCTTCCTTGTTGTGCTTGATAGGATTGCATTAGAGGGAAGTTAACAGAGAAGCAGATATGGCCGCACAAAAAACGTGTGCTGGCAAAAAACTGTTTGGGTTCTAAGGTGGTGTAGATTGAATTCACTTTCCAAGGGATGGCTTAAATACAGATGGCCTGGTGGCTTGGGGGGTGCTTTTGAAGAGCTTTGTGAACCACTCTTCCGAAGTGTTCTGGATCAAAGAGCAGGGACAATATCTCTCCAGCACACCCATGCCGGTGTGCCTTTGCGTGCAGCGGTCCCCAGATCGAGAAGGGGCGAACGATCGTTTTTGATGTCCAGGAAGGCCCATCTGTGAGCAGATAAGTTTTTCCGTGACCCGTTGACACTCACCGCCCCTGGACTAGTGACACTCACCGCGGTTTCCGCGCCCAGCGCCTGCCTTTGAGGTTCGGGTCTCCCGACTCCAATGAACACGAGCGCGTCGACAGCGCAGGTGCAACCGAACCGATTCTTTTTTCGATTGAGGATGTTCCTCGAGCTGGCGGATGTTGACCAGAGTTGACCAAGCGGGAAAGAAACGGACATCGTTTCCGAACATGTATTGGAGTACTTGTGGAACTGCTCTCCCTTTCCCGTGAGCGTGCTTTATTTGGTGCTCCACTGCGACACTGCCAGACCCGCCGAGCGGCCTCTGCCGAACAGTCGAGGTCTTCCACGTGGGGAACCCCTTCGAGGTTGCTTCCGAAAAGGATGTTCTTTTCACATGCTAGACCCCTTCCCTCTTTCCTTTAATGTGGATTGTTTGCATCAATCTGTACTTTGTTTTGTTGGTTTTCGTGCCCGATGATGTAAGACAGTGCTGGTTTTCTGTTTGCCAAGTGATGTTTTGACTTAGCTAGGTATCAGTGCTGGTTTTCGTGCACCCAAGAGATCGTTGAATTCCCATCAGTGCCAATCATCGCTTGTTCACGAATGTTGGAAGCGAAATTCCCAGGTTGGACATTCAACCTTCATTGACAGAGCGGGACACCTCGAGCCATCGCAAAGGAGACATTTGCAGATTTTTTGTTTCTATGGGCACATTTTATTGTAGTACCATGCCCAGATCCACTAGAACCGTTTCTGCATATGGCTCTGTGAGTTCCTCCTTCTCCAACTTGTAAGAGTCGTCACAATTATATTGAACTTCCGTCGCATCGAACCAAGAGAGGGGATATTAGCGGACAGACTTGCATGTCTTTTGCACATGGTTGACGTGCATGAATTCTCTTGTATCTTCAGGATGCCTGAGACCTTCAGTCCATTCGGAGAAGTCCTGAACACCTCAACATCTATGTGGATAGGCTTGTTGAGATCCGTTTGTCTGTTTGGACACTCAGGAGATGGCCTGAAGTTGGCCGTTCCAAAGCTACAGGGACATCATCGTGGAGAGGGGCGCGATGGTGCGGGACCTTGGCCCGGCCCGGCGGAACGAGTGACCTGGAACGACTTCCGGAACGAGCATGACTGTGGTTTCAGAGGTTGGGCACTGGCACACCAGAGGTGATGTGAGGACAGAGGTTCGGCTTCATCATACATTCAGCAACGAATTTGGTGTGCCATCTACTCTGAAACACACAACAAAAGGACTAGGTGTTTTTTTCCCGGTTTGGTCGTGTCGAACAGTCTTCCATGAATTCCACCAATGGGGTTCGGACCGCCTCTGGAAAACCGATGTGCGAGGGAAGCACTGTACATGCACACATACAGGTCACACACACAATAAGAATAGGCTTTTCTCAGCAAGTTCATGCGGTCCTTTTGTTGCCTCTGCCCCAAAGTTCCTTTTTCATCCCAGATGGAATTGGATGAAAAACGATCTGAACGAGGTTGGAGGCCATGGCTATTAGATTGCTTACGCTCTTTAAACTCCCTGAAACCATCCCAGGTGCCACGCGGCGCTTGCATCGCCCGGTTCCCACCAGCCGACGGCGAGCGTCGCCTCACGGCCCGAGACCTGGTCCAACTCGTGGTTTTCATTCGACGAGTGACTCGACTTCCAAGCATTCTGACTTCGAGTTTTGCAGTCCAAGGCCACCTTCACGAGGTTGGGCGCCCTGGAAATCGGTTTGCTTGGCATTTCTGAGTGGCTGGTGGAGCCATCGCAACTCGGGGCTCCAGTCGGATCTCCGAGAGTTTCTCTTCGAATGAGTGATAACTTGATCGACGAGTGATCTGATCAGGCTCATTGGGCGCGCTTCGAACGCAAGATCTCTGGGGCCTTGAGGCCCAGCGGGTTGAATTTCACCCAGGGTCGATGTGGATTTGTGTGATTGGGTGTCGAATTTGGGATTGGAAACACCGGATTGATGGATTGGATGTCGCTGTAGATTGTAGATGGGTTGGTGTCTGATTTGTGCCACAGAATGGGCTTCTAGAAATCGCTCCTTCTTTGGTGCCACTTGTTGAGGAACCTGCTTTCAACCAGCCAGCCAGTTTTTGAGAACTGGCTTCAACATCACGAGCAGTCATTTGTCCCCTTTGAATGAACAACTTTTGGCTCAAGCGAAGCATTGGTCCTGCAACTCTGCTTTCATTTCTGACATCTCCAGCCAGACAGCAGCATGAAGGTCACCGCAATGAAGGGACTCTTCTTCATCTTTG